TTACAATTAATGTAATTTCATTTCATTTTAGTGTACTCCTGATGAAGTCACCAATTTACAGTGACGAAATATTGAGTTTAACGAGAATGTAAGAGTTTTCATTTTTCCACAGACCGCTTACCGAAAGAATTCACAATATTTAATATATATATATATATATATATATATATATATATATATATATATATATATATATATATATATATATATATATATACATATATACATCATGTGCTTTTCATTGATTTTAAGATTTGAGATGTACATTAATCTATGCATTATTTAGACATACGACTTACTCTATCTTTCTATCTTAAAATCGAGTGTATGTGATAATTGAAATCATTGCCTTTCATCCGTTGAACGTGGCGTGACTGATGAGTACCTTGTAGTACGAAACAGTATACTGTCTCACGTTTTCAATGAATGTAGGCATCGATTTCAAAATTCTTTAACATTTTTCCCATGAAGAATAATGGAGAATCTATTATTCTCTAACAATGATCCCTAGAAGGACAATGGAGACATCGCATTGTTCATGTTTCACATAGCCAGCTCCGCTATTATTCTTTGGAATAATTCGTCAAGAATTATCGAAAGAAAGTTATAATGTACTTTGATAGCGAATATCAAAGTGCGATAACATACATACATAGCACGCGAACTAGAGATTTCTTCTTTTTGTAGTGAATTTATTGTGACATATTTATTTTGGCGGTCTTTCAAGAATTAGAGAAATAGAAAAACAAGAAAGTAAAATTCTCAGAAAGATTTACGGGCCAATCAATAGAAACGGCATTTGGATGAAAAGACCTTAGAATGAACTGTATCAAAAGACAAATACGATAACGGAAGAAATCAGAAAACGACAGAAGTTCTATGCACATGTTTACAGAATGAAACAGTCCAGAATACCGAAGAAACTACTCGATTATATAATTATGACTCGGCTACTATAATTATGATTAGTAAATTCGGAACAGAGTGGCTAAAAGAGGTCCAAAAGGATCTACAACAGATCAATATGAAAAATCTCGAAGATCGCACTGAATGTCGGTATAAAATCGCACATGTGAAGTTTGAGCAGAAATCAAATCGTCAACCTGGAGTAAAGTGGACAGAAGAACGGAAGAAAGTGCATTCTGAGAAAAAGAATGAGATGAAGCAAAATTCCTAATGATTGCGAATTCAAGTTCAGTCGCTCTCCTCATGGGGAACAATCGTAATAATAATAATAATATATATATATATATATATATATATATATATATATATATATATATATATATATTATATATATATATATATATATATATATATATATATATATATATATATATATATATATATATATATATATATATATATATATATATATATATATATATATATAATTCGTTTAGTTTTCTTGTGCTTTGCTTAATAACATAAGTGTGAAGGTTTCTTGGGAATGAGCACAGTTTAAACTTGATGGAGTAATTATTTATTCGACATATGTTTCGGCTCTAGGCCTTTTTCAAGAATATTATAATTCTTGAAAATATAATATTCTTGAAAAAGGCCTATATATATATATATATATATATATATATATATATATATATATATATATATATATATATATATATATATATATATATATCTATATATATATAAAAATATATATATATATATATATATATATATATATATATATATATATATATATATATATATATATATATATATATATATATATATATATATATATATATATATATATATATATATATATATACAATAGATATATATACCTACGGGTATAGAAGATATGTGAAATTTCGATGCTTGGTGACTCTGTAATCTGAGAGAGGTGTTTTCTACTGATTTCTATAGATGGAATTGTAGAGTATTCATTACTCTACGATCTTCCACTTGAAGTCACAAGAAGATGCTTGGAGGTTGAAATCGTTGCCTCACTTCGATGGACGTGGTGCGACTGACGAGTTCCTTGCAGAACGAAACATATATGTCTCGCACTACCATCAGGTGTGGCATCGATTTCAATATTTCTCTAACATTTATCCCTTGAAGGATAATGGAGACATCACATCGTACACGTTCACATATCTAGCTCTGCTATAACATTCTCTTGATTAATTTCAATTTTTCAAATGAATGTTCTAGTGTTCATTTTCTTATATATATATATATATATATATATATATATATATATATATATATATATATATATACATCGCTGTCCTCTACAGTAACTTCATGGAAAACTGGTGCTTCTTCATATGTCGTGTCCAAACTAATTCGTACCGACATCTAGTAGCGAATTACACACACAGCAAACAGTGGAGCAACAATTTTAGCTTCTCCAGCAGCACCTTGATCTCTCTGAAAAAGTTCATTTAATTAACATAATTATTTCATGCTCCCAACCTATTGTTAAGAGCTTCACAACTGTGGAGTCATGATATGGATTTGGAGTCCGAAACATATTCATCGTCCATTGAATTTATCCGAAACATATGTCAAGCAAATGAACTTTTTTTTTTTTAATTCAGTGGACCTACAGTTTAACGGCGGTTCCGAAGTTCGCACAGAACAAACCCCCATTTATAATTGTAGTAAATCTTTTTATCATTAGACATAAGACTTCGTATGGTAAAATGCTATATTTGGCCCATAATAACATATGGGGCCGAAACATGGTCACTCAAAATAAAATCCATGAACCGCATAGAGGCTTTTGAGATGTTGATACTCCGCAGGTTATTAAAGATTCCTTGGGTGGAGCAAATAACGAATGAGGAAGTACTTAGAAGAGCCGGCGTCGAGCGAGTGTTATTAAAAAATATAAAGCAACGCAAGATCTCTTATTTGAGCCACATACTCCGAGGCAATAAATATGAGATCCTAAGACTAATATTATTGGGTAAAATAGAAGGTAGAAGAGGTCCAGGCCGAAAACGGCATTCATGGTTGTGCGATATCAAGAACTGGTGTGGAGTGAAAAACGTGGGTGATATATTCGCACTAGCTACGGAGGGGCAATTACGGATTATAGAATGAGTGGATGATCGCTTACACGCTGTAAGCGTTGGCACGAGAAGAAGAAGAAGTAAATCTTTTACGTTTCTATTAATAAGTTCAACATGAAACGAAAGACTTAAACTCGACATTTTCCTTTAATGAAGACAAACCTCATTTCACTCTTTACATTAGTCATTGAGGAATTCACAAATTGTCACATTCCATTTTCGTAATAACAGATCATCTGTGTGATATTGGTCTTCTCTTGCTATTTGGTGAAACATATCGCTCTCATAATCTGTTATTATTCATCAAAACTCTACCTTCACATTGTTTCATTGTTACATGTTTTCATTACTTGATTGGTTCTTTCACTTTCATGGCTTTTCGCCACTCTTGGAAAATGATCCAATATCCAATAATCCAGAATATATGTATTCGAACAAAAAGCACAATCATTATGATAGCTTCATTTGAAAAGTACTCAAAAAACTCTAGTCTCTACTTACCCAAAAAGGTTTTTAAAGCGCGGAAAACGATTGAACTTCATGTTTCTTCTTTTATATCATTGTGCGAGGGTTATTTACTCCGCTCGAAGCTTTAAAATATCATAAATGTGAGTTTTCTGAGACGACACGAGAAATGAACTTTTTCAATTTTCTAACAGGATGAAGGATACCGGGATGTGTCTCACATCATATATTTTCTGCAGCAATATCGTAATAATATTGTTTTGGACGGCAGTGCTGTAAAATGTAATGATAAGGTGAAGAGTTTGGGTGTGTGGATTGACCAGGACTTGAGATTTGCAGATCACATCAGCATGTGTTTACAGAGGGCTTACGCATCTTCGAAATTGTTGTATCATAGTAGGCATATTCTTGATAAGTCCACTAAGTCATTGTTGTGCAACGCTATGGTGCTGTCGAAATTGAATTATTGTGACGTACTGTATAATTCATGTTTAACTGAGTTTGACTCTAATAGAATACATAAACTGCAGAACTCATGCTTAAGATTGATTTTTGGAGTAAGGAAATATGAACGTATAAGTCACACATTAAAAATTAATAATTGGTTGAATATGCGGTGCCGAATGAAATTGCACTCACTGTGTTTTTATAACAAGCTTATTACGGATCGAGTACCTCCATATTTGTACGACAAGATACGTTTTAGGACTGATATTCATAATTTAAATGTTAGGCATAAGAACACTATCACCATACCTAGACATGCAACACAGTATTTCAGACGGTCATTTTCTTTTTGTTTAGCGGATACTATGAACAGCTTATCAGTTGAACTTCGTGTTTTGTCCGGGTTGCGTTTTAAAAAAAAATTGTGGAGAAATTGTTATCGATGTAATATTGCAGTGTTTTAGTTGTTTTCTTATGGTTTGTGCCTTTGTAGTTATTTTCCATCGAGTTTTGATCTTGCTTTCAGTGAAATATTTTGTTCACTTGATTGAATGTGTGTTTCTGCTCTGGAGTGTTCACCTTATTTATAGTATAGGAAACCATTAATTTAGGCTAGTTTTTTTTTTTTTTTTCAATTCTGAAGTCGAATTATCGCATCTTGTCTTTTAGTAGACTTAAGGTATACTTGGTTAATTCAGTAGATAGGGTTAGATGATAGTAGATCTAAGGGTTGGATGGAAGAGCAGATGTACGTTCTTGTTTTACGATTGCGTGCATACTGAATCTCGCCCTGAGGAATGATTTGTTTTTTTGATGTAAAATATTGTGATTTATTTTTAATAAAGACATTTATTATTATTATTATTATTATTATCTATTGAATTGAAAAGAAACACGCCGAGTCTTGCCGGGTTGATATTTGAGTAGACGTTTTCAAGACATTTTACTTGTTATTTCTCGTCTACATGTATGTACATCCGATTTGATTGAATGGAATTTTTGCCATATGTTAGAACGCGATTGATAGGTTACTCAAAGAATTTGAATAAATGGCCTGTCTCCGTAGTTTAGTCGGTAGAACTCCCGACTATGCGGTAGAACTCGGGTTTGAGCCCCGCTGAAGGCATGGGTGTTTGTGTTTGTCTATGATTTAAGCAGTTGAAATAATGAAATATTGTGGGTAATGTACATCGATTACAAGCCCAATGGCCGTTCGGAACCGGCGTTAAACTGTAGGTCCACTGAATTAAAAAAAAATATGAATGAAGAAGAACAGCCAAAATGGCTAAAAAAAGGGTGAAAATAATAGAATAAAGCTATCGAAGGCATTTCAATCACATTTCTCTGCACTGAAATCTGTAGAATAATATAAAATGATATTATTATTATAGCTATTATTGCCCGTTAAAAGAGAACCATTGCACTTGAATTCATACATTTTTAGCGCTCTTGTTTTTGCTAATTCTTCTCCCAAAAACTCTTCATCCTGTAGAATATTCCTTCTGTCGTTCATCTGTCCATTCAATGTCCTGTGGTCGGGTTCTCTCTCGTTCTGGTAGGGCGAGAGAGATCGTAGTATAGTCTTCGATCAGAAACATTCCTTCATTCTACACAATACCCGTCCTATTTCATTTGAATCGAAAATATATGGATTATTTATACGCAATGGCAAATATTTCAATAATTCCTCAACATTTATGAAACTATTTAATACCCTAACCCGTAGCACTTGGAGTAAGGCAACATGATTAGTCCATCAAGACGAATTATTGAGTCGATTTTGTTTAATCTCATTGCAGGGCAGAAGAGAAACTTTATGAATCAAATTTTTGTACAAATTAATGCACAACAGTATTGATTGTCCGCTTTGAAATTTCGTGTTTCTAGGCGAAAGTATCGTACTACATAATTACTCCACCTAGAAATTGCAAGGACCAACTCTCTAATACAATTCCACATTTGGTTTATGGAATCTACATTCCATACAGTTGCTAATAAATGTGACATTCAATTTGACTCCATAGAAGCTATCATTAGAAATTATGTGAACAAGGGAAATTTACTAAAATGAATGAATTAGATCAAGTTCTTTGTAATATTTCATTTAATTTTATTATTAGTTAATTTTTAGGATTTTTAAATTAAATTGAGCTCTGTGTTATATTTCTTTTCATTTAGTTATTATTCAAAATTATGTTATTATTTTCTGTAATTGGGTATTATACCTGTTTAGAATAAAGAACTTATTATTAATAAACTTTTAGGTTAGCGCGATGTTCTTTGCTAAAATATCACATGAGCGATGTTATTGCGACACTCCATACGATCTTTGAGATTCTCGATACGAGTATTGATCTGTTGTAAATCTTTTTGAACCTCTCTGAGCCATTTGCCCCATTTATTCTTTTTCATTATATCGCTACTCCGTAGTATTTCATCCTGTAGATTTGTGCATAGAACTTGGGGTCTTTTCATCCAAATATCATTTTTATTGATTGATCCGTAAATCTCCTGAGAATTTCTCCCATTTTTCCCATATCTTGTAATTGGAATAGATTTATATCATTTTTGTATTGTTCATTCTTCTGCTGTCTTTTCATACGAGGTTTTTCAAAAGAAAATATGAATTTTGAATTATTTCGAATAGCACTTATTTATTATAGTATTATAATATTAATATATTATTTAATATAGTGAATATATTTTATAGTATTTAATATAGTATTATATATTATTCAATAATAGTATTATTTCATATAGTATTCAATTTTTATAGTATTAATTCAGCATTTGATAAAGAAGTAGTACATCGAAACGTCGTCATGCGTATTTGTATTAAATTATGAAAATATTATAAATATTGTTTCATTATAGTATTTATTTATTCATCGAGATCCATTTTGTCCCCTTCAAAGTAACCCCTCTCAGATATAATGCACTTATGCCAGCGCTTCTTGCAATCCTCGAAATTCTGACATGCGCTTTTCGGTATGGCCATCAGCTCGTTCTTCGTTTCCGACTTTATCTTATCAATTTTGGCCAAACACTTTCCTCTCATGGGTCTCTTCAGTTTTGGGAATAGCAAAAAGGCGCAGGGAAACAAATCTGGTGAATACGGTGATTGAGGCATCATAACGGTGTTGTTTTTGGCCAAAAAAATTACGAGAAAGCATTGATGTTTGAGCTGATGCATTATCGTGATGAAGAATCCATGATTTGTTTTTCCACAATTTCGATCGTTTGAGTCGTATTGCTTCATGCGAACGTTGCATAACTTCCTTGAAATATTCCTTACTAACCGTACGGTATGACCTGTTGGCAAGAACTCATGATACTCTACGCCGTTGTAATCGAAGAAAACAGTGAGGAAAACCTTCACATTTGATCGAACTTGGCGCGCATCTTTCGGTCTCTTCTGGCCGTTTCCATTGGAATGATGGGCTTTAGCTTGAGCGTTTTGTGCTAAAAACTTGAGGGTTTGGATAGATAAGAAGTTATCATTCAGGCACTATGTTGCCTCTATGAGAAAGGGCAGCTATATGAGGTTGAAGGGGCTACGATAATTAAATATGAGTTGACTGAAGTAATTAAGTTCAGACTTGTCCAATCTTTGGTCTACCGCTTAGTTTATTACCGCTGTCCGGTGTACTGTGGTTTATTAACGAAGAAGGAAAAATATAAACTGGCCAAGGTTCAAAATTCTTGACTGCGTTTTATATCTTGTATTCCCTACATAAGCCATGTCACACCGTACCGTAGTAGACTAGAAGAAATCACATATCCACAGAGGGCTGAGTATTTGTTGATTAGTTTTCTTGCAAAATTGATTGCTAGTGAAACTCCTAACTAGCTATTCAATAGATTGGAACTACGTAAATCAGCTCATCAGGTGAATATACGTGAGGACGGTAATTTCTGCGTTCCTCAGTATAGAACATCTAAATTTGAGTGGTCTTTCGATTATATCGCCCCTCTCACATCAAATAAGTTTAGGATGTTGTTTGATACTGATACCTCAATAATTAATTTAAACAAGAAACTGTACCATCGGTTAAGAGAGGAGAGTTTCAGTTGAGTTTTAGATCTAGGTTTAGTTGGGTATATCATTTTTTTGATCCTGTATGTAAGGCAATTACAATAAACTTATTATCAATATTTTTATATTATTATCTGGATCGTCGTTGAGGTCATAAATCAACTCCTGAGCGATACTAATGCGACGATCAAAATTTAGCAATTTCGGAACAAAATTCCCTGCCACATGATTCATGACCAAAACATCCGAGAAAATTCCATGGCATGAGCCGATAGATATGCTAACATCCTCTGCAACTTCCTTTATAATGATTCGACGATTCTCCAAAACCACTTTTTTCTATGTGTCGACAATTCTTTACTTGTTGACGTGGTTGCAACTCCAGTACGTTCATCGCCATCAACATCTTCTCGGCCTTCTGTAAAGCGCTTGTACCACTTATGAATACATTTTTGAAACAAAGTAGACTCACCGAATGCCACAGTCACTTTGTTCCATTTTTAACTCAAAACTTAATACAGATTCTTTGATCCATTTTTTTTCGAAAATAAGGAATATCCAACATAACGAAAAAAATTTTAATAATCGAATGTGCACAGCCCGCGAAAATTAAAAATTCACCTTTTCTTTTGAAGAGACCTCGTATATACTCGTATATATATATATATATATATATATATATATATATATATATATATATATATATATATATATATATATATATATATATATATATATATATATGTGTTATAAAAGATCAATTGAAAATATCACATATAATATAATTATTATAGTGGGAGATTTATAATTCAATCACAGAATAACTCAATTCTCCATTAAATGCTCATGCAGTATATCTTTCGAACACTGAAAATTGCATGTTGTTTTCGAATTGTATGGACCTCTTGAATATTTTCTATTACTTGGCTGCTGCTCTGAACATCTGTGAATGCAGCTATCAATTATTTTGCCTCCTTCCTTGGTAATGTGCTTTCACCACGGAAATATGTTTCATTGTCCACATCAAATAAATGTCGTATTAAATCTTAGACTATTCTAGCCCTTGTTTCCTTATCAATAAATTCGAACAACAAATAGATATATATATATATATATATATATATATATATATATATATATATATATATATATATATATATATATATTATTTCGAAAGTTTTTAGCAATAACAGGCTTTTTTTGATATGAAAAAGTTTATTTCTGTTGACGTTTCGTTGTTATATTACTACTGTGTCAAAACTAATGGTCTCATCAAATGTAGAGAGTCAATAATATCCATCAGATCATTTACGAACAGACTAAATAACAGTGGCCTAAGATTAAACCCATGAGTTATTCCTAATGTAGGTATGAATTAGGACGACTGTATACCACCCATCTGTACAAACTGACGTCGGTTAGGAAGAAAAAGATTGGTGAGGCTATCAGAGAATCCAAATTTGTTGCGTAATTTCTGTACAAGGAGCCCATGAGCAACTTTATCAAATGCTTTCTGAAAATCTGTGTAAATCACAACTTGACCGGTGGAATCGAGTACTTCAAAAACATATTGAGAAAACAGTATTAAATTTTTTGAGTAAGGTCTTATTGACATTAATCATTATTGACGAACATCAAATGTGGCAAGTCAATATTATCCATCAGATCATTCACAAACAGAATAAATAACAATGGCCCAATATTAGACCCCTGAGGTAGGTATGAACTCAGACGACCGTATACCCTCCACCTGTACGAACTGACGTCGGTCAACCAAGTAAGAATGAAAAAGGTTGGTGAAGCTATTGGAGAATCCAAATTTGTTGCGTAATTTCTTCATAAGGAGCGCATGAGCAACTTTATCAAAGGCTTTCTGAAAATCTGTGTATCTACACAGATTTTTTTAAATCACAGATGTGATTTATCTAAATCACATCAAATTGACCAGTGGAATCTCATTCACATTAATACATGTTGCTCGATCTTGATGCTGTTTGTGACGGATGGATCTATAGAATTATAGATGATTTCAAAGATTTCGGAAAAGTTGATAAGATGGATATTGGGCTAAAGTTCTTCGCAACAGAAGG